TTTCGCCCCCCCCCTTCCGAACTACATTTTCACCAAAAGATGATTAGCATTCAAACGTGCAAGTCCGCCCAGAAAACCTCTCAGTTTCACGCTGGACGTATGTCTACCGTGATAAGTCTTGAAGCCAACCTGACTATAAATCATAGGTACGGACTCAGGCCTAGAAACGCAAACTGCTTACCATTGGAGCGTGGTTTTGAGTGGATAATTGGACATAGAACGGCTCTCAGATGTCATTGCATGAACTAGCCATATTCGAAGTTTGAACCCTGCTGATTCGTCGGCTTTGCCTCTTCATTGCTCATCGGATATGACCCATACTTTGACGTCATTTGATGACATATTCCATGACTAGGCGAACAGCTAATACAGTGCGTACCAAAAGTATGTGGACACCCTAAAATTTTTCATTCTCTTGAAACTGTTGACTTCTGCACCATGCGACCGCCACCATTCGATTTCTCGTATGCGAAAACCTTAGCATTTCCCATTTCTCACCAATTTACATGCAGCTTTAATTTTTTTAATTAAAGGAAAACTTTGTATCACTATGTATTGTATCACTGTATCATGTATCACTCTATATCTATCTCTGTATCTCTCTGTATCTATCTGTATCCCTGTATTACAAGTATGTGGACACTTTTTGAAAAACAGCAATATCTTCAGAATCTAAAATTGCTAGATCTACCAAAGCTTCTAGTAAGTTAATGTTAGGTTGAAACGATTGAGATGCCGTTTCCGTTTGTGCCTTTGTTTCTCAGCATATTGCGAAATCTTAGGCTCCACTGAGCGGATGTTCTTTGAGCCAAAACTTTTGCTTGAAGATGACTGATCAGAAATCATCGTCTGAGCGTATATATTCAAGCAACGAAAAACGGCCAACGAATCCCACTCATTGTGTGCAAAACATTGAGCAGTAACACTTACCAGGAAATGCACTCAACTTCCCATGGAACCTTGAATGAAGACCCAGATATATCGATAGACTGACTACGACTACTCTCGCTCTTCACCCGTGAGGTCATAAGTTCTCTTCCCGTTGGAGTGCAAATTTCGAGAGCACTACCACTACTCCACGGCGACTTTGAAAGCCTGGAGGCTAGTGTAATGCTTTACTTCCAGCCAACTTTGACTGCTCACAACTTCCTTGGCAGGTTCATTTTGCAGTTTTAGTTTCCATATTTGTAATCAGCGTTTGAAGCTCTATCGATATATCTGGGTCTCAATTCAAAGTTCCATGGGAAGTTGAATGCCTTCCCTGGTTAGTCTCTGATGAGTGGGGAGCGCAAAAAAAACTCAAACTCAAAAAAGAGAAGAATTTCTCAAACTGAGTTTCCCATCGCTGTCTGGCATTTTCATGGAGACTGAACTGTGGTAAAGTGAACCTCAGTAGAGAAATCTATTTATGAATCTCTGTGACCGCTCCAATTCAGTGATGGTATTTTGGAAGTGAAAACAACGTCACGAGGGGTGCACCATATGGTCTGCAGTGCAGATTACCCACCACTGACTGCCCTGGCCTAGAATTCAAACTTAAATAACTTCACGTTGATTAGGCTGATCATTGCAGAAAATTACATCTTAAAACTGTTACCGGTGTTTTTGTCAAGGCATAAAAGTATTTAGGAAATGCAAACATTCACAGCAGCCTTAGGCTTATGTTATTGAAAAGGAT